TACTGATGTTACATTTCTCTTTGGATAGAGAGATGTAACGTCAGTTATCTTGACAGGTGAGTGGTGATGGTGTGTCCAACATAATTATTTATGGATTTGTTTCCTTCATAAATGCAGTTCCTTCATCTTGGGTAATCAATATTTTATTATATTAAAGCTCTATCAAATGACATTGAGCACTCGGTTGATTTTATAATATGAAAGTTTTAGCTTTTTTTTGTTCTTACTATAAGTATGACATTATATAATACTTCAATTATATTACTTCATGGAAAGAGCGAAAAAGCAATGAACCTCTCGTTGCTCTATCGCTATTTCCATGGAAAGTGTTCAAACGAATTATATTCCTTAATTCTGTCAGTTCTAACCTTCATGGCTAACAATCATCATGCTATGCACATTGTAGAGAACCAACCCCTTTCCTTTCATATTCCATTGTGTGAGATGTAAATTCCACTCGAGCAGCTTCTTTCCGTGAACCGCTGATCTGTGGAACCGACTCCCAAGAGGATGCTTCCCCAATCACTACAATCTTAATCTGTTCAAGTCCTGGGTCAACCGTTATCTTCCCAATATGTCCTCATAATCTGTGTCTCTTACTCTGTAAGGCTCTACCACAAGTGGCTCAGCGTGAACATCGTAGTAAAAATAAAAAAGTCCCCGCATGGGGACTCTTTATTTATAACTGAGTTTTGGCTTGATTGCTGAGATGTTATTTCTGATAATAAGATGTCTTTTTAATCTTTTATAATAAATAATTAATTTGATGTTTTAGTTGCTTTAAAAGGAGTGATACCGTTTTTATAATGTTCCTTAAAGCAAATTCAACATGTTTGTAATAGATATACAAGAAAGGATAATAAAAAATTAAAGTACTTTCTCAGTCTTGTTCAACAATATATATATATTGTTGAACAAGAAAGTACTTTAAATCTTATATAACTATATATATATATATATATATATATATATATATATATATATATATATTACATGAAAAGATTACTTAATTTTTAAACATCAATTTTATCCGACTTCAAAGTTTCTTGGTAAATTTTCCAGTCTTCAGGGGTTATGGTTTTAAACGGTATTTCCATTTTTTCACTTTATTCACGTGCGTATTCATAAATTTAACGTTCTTTTATACTTATGAACTATATATAAAAATATCTGCTTTCTCTTAAATCTTATATATATATATATATATATATATATATATATATATATATTGCATGAATCATTCATACAAAAAACAGATTAGTGAAGTTAATGATATAAATGGCGAGAATACATGTTCACAAACAAATTTATCAAAATTACATTAACCCACGAACCCCAAGATGAATGTTATGATCTCTGTTTTTTAATAAAATTCAACTTGTATAAGGTCTTTTTTTTGCTAGTACTTTCATCTGTTCATACAGACATAATCAGGCATGGAAATTGATTTGTTTTTTTTTTAATACATCCAGGCAATATATCAGTGACAACTCGAGGTCATCAATGTTTGTTATTAGAAATTGCAATCTTTAACAAAATATACTATTGTTATAACTTAGATGCTAAAATGATACCCTTACTCTAACTAAAATATATAATTTTTAAAAATGTCTGCATGAAATTAAACATAATAACACATTTTGGTATTTTAATATTAATTGTAATAATTCTATAAAAATAAATATTTATTTAAAAAAAGAATTCCTAAGCATGTAAGAAAAAAGTGTGAGGACAAAAACTTTGATGTTTGTTTATTGCCTCTTTCCATTTTTTATTGTTTTACAGCATGGTTATCAAGTCATTGGTGATAGAGTATGTGTTTGTATATATATCTATATGTTATTGTGTTTATGTATCTCTCAGTCTGTGCATTTTTACTTTAATTTATTGTACGCTTATGACCAGTACTGCTAACAGATATCATATTTGCTCAACACTACCCCAGTCACAGTCCTCATCCCAGCCCTCCAGTTGACGAGTTAAAGCTGCCACTTTCTTTGATTTTCGCCGAATTGAAGTCGGGCTAAATTTAATTTGTTCTTCTTCAAAATATAGATTCCTATAAAAAAAAAATTATACTGTACAGAATAAATTATTTAAAATGGACATTTGAAAAGAATACGCTGAAATAAAAATGTGTTCTTTGAAAAACAGAGTCATTAGAGATGTTGAAAAGATTATTGATAAAATTAAAGCAAGAAATACATTGCCTATTAAGTATGTCTCCAGATTGATAGAGCTCAGATCAACCAGCCTGACTAGCCACGTTAATATTATTTCATTGTGTTTTTACTTACTTTATTTCTTTGTTTTATTCTTTCTTTCTTATGAGAAATATCAACGAAATGTATTTCGGTCAATATTTTCAGGCATGGAGTTAAAACAATTCATTTTGGATGCAGCTGAAGCCAAGAATAAAACGACAACACTACGAAAGAATTTTATTTTGAAATAGATATACTTGAATGTTGAGTCACTCGGGCTTAGCTCGACAAGCACGACCTCCGGAGTCGCCAGTCACACACACACACACACACACACACACACACACACACACACACGCGCGCGCGCGCACATATGTGTCTGACTAAAAAAAGAAAAAGTAGAAAAATCTATTTAATACATATTTAATAATTATAGTTCTCTTGGATTTGTAAGCCTATTTTTTTTCTTTTTTACTCTTGAATAGATAACTTGCCGTTTGCATGGCCCCTATCCTTGTAACCATCTACTATACTAATTCAAATGTGGGGGAGTGGGGGATGCACATACCCCCCCCCTCCGAGTAACCCTCGTTATCCCCTTCCCCATTGGGTCTCTTAGTCCTCAAATACATCATTAGAGCTTGTCTCTGTTCCTTTACGTCTCGGACCGGTACGATGTTTCTGACCCAAGGACGAGTTCTGTTACCTTGACTTCTGGACAGACGCAACATGTACACTCGGAGCATCACTCTTGTATTTTCCTTCTTGGCTTGATTGTCCCTTCATTAAGCGTGCTGGAAGTAGACGTTTTATGGGTTTTGACGTGATAGTCAGGGATCCGAACCTCGAATACCGCTGGTTATTCTATCAGCAGGTGTATAATATTGGGGCTACTGTACAGCCATTTTGTGAATGGTTTCTGGATCGTGCAGTAGTCTCTGGCGAGGCCTCTCGATGCCGTGATGAAGGGTACTGCTACAGCTGTATCTCTGGTCGACTCTCTACAAGTTAATTATGCATGCAACTCCTGTGGATGTGTCTCTCTGCCTACCAGTCTTCCACCAATCAATGCACACATGAAACCAATCAAAATACAAATGAACAAAACTATGAAACCTAATATAAAAAAAACAAAACAAAGAAGACCCATCGTATAACATCTCCTACACCAACGTAAGTGGTTTATGTACCAACTTTCCAGACGTGGAACACCATCTTCTCCAATCTGAACCAGATCTCCTGTTACTTTCGGAAACCGGTATCAACACTTTATGCGTACTAAGGGAGTTCATAGTCCCGGGCTACTCACCTCTCAGTCAAACACGACCACGACATTGTCACGGCCACGGACTTGGAGCCTACATCAAGGACGAGTTTCCCTGTGACAGGGACACAAAAACGAGGAAACCTGATCTCCCGTGCTTCCGCGTGGCACTTATCCATAGTACCACATTCGTCTTTGCTCTTTACCATCCTCAGGACAAAGGGACGGTAATCTTCGACCGAATATTTGAATATATTCGGCCAGTTTTCATATCTGCGGGGACTTCTATATCCACCATAAAGAGTGGCTAGTCCACTCCAGCAAAACCGATGTTGAAGGCAGATATTGCAGAGACGTCTATGAGCTAACCCAGATCATTAGAGAATCTACCCGGGTCCTGCACACGACGAGACATCAGGCGAACCTTCTCAAACTTTTCCTACTTTGTAAAATGCCGATCAAAAGTTTTACTTTCACTACACACGTCAGGCCATTCCGTAATCAGTGCCCAGATTGATGCCAAATCTGTCATTCCCTGATGCACCGTTCCATAGAAAGATTTTTCGCCGTGCGAAGGCAGGCTGGGACAGCGTTCCATCCTGCATGATGGATGCTCCCCTCCCAACCTTCTTCAAGCATGCTGCCTGCAAAGCTGCTGCTGCCATTGTCATTGATTGGATCCTTTCTGGAATAGAGAGTTTTATACTACGCATAAATTCCAGCAAAAACCAAACCTAGTTCACCCCTGAATGGGCAGCAGCTATAACTCACCAAAACTATACAGACAAACCTCTCATCTACGGACCACTTATCAACGGACTTCGGATGCAACGGACAAAATCTGCAGGCAAAATAAAACAAAAATCTGCAGAAAAAAATCTTCCAAATCGTCAACGATGTATTTTAAAATTTGCGGGCTTAGCAGAACGTGTCGTATTAGTTCTCAAAGTGACCGTCTGGTGGCGCTGGTGGCCCTTTTAATTGTAAACAAAGACGGGTGTACCGTATATATACATTCGCGCGTGCGTGAGAAAGTCGATGTGAGAAATCTATTATTTTTGTTATTTTGATATCTATTTGTTATCTATATTAAGTATATTTTTATTTATGCCATATATACATGTTTATAGTATTATGATCATAACTACTGGTAGTTACTATAGTGGTTTTATTACTCAAAAATAATCCCTTCCCATCTACGGACAATCGGATTTAACGGACCACCCATCTCCCCTATTAGTCCGTTGACGAGAGGTTTGCCTGTACTTCAATATCTATCGCAAACAGTGATGAAATTCAGCCGTCACTGTATACAGAATTGCCCGCAATCACTGCAAAAATTTGTAGAAAACGCCAAGTTCAGCTACGCACGGGGAGTCTAGACCAAGTTTGAAAAGGAACAAATTGGCATCCGTGAATTCTGGAAGATTATCAACCAAATCATGTACAGAGGTAAAGCGGCTGTGACCACAATTATAAATAATCACAGGTGTAAGGAAAAAAGGGAATTACCATCACAGGTGTAAGAAAAAAAGGGAATTACCATCACACGTGTAAGTAAAAAAAGGAATTACCATCACAGGTGTGAGGGAAAAAAGGGAACTACTATCACAGGTGTAAGGAAAAAAGGGGACTACCATCACAGGTGTAAGAAAAAAAGGGAATTACCATCACAGGTGTAAGGAAAAATGGGAATTACTATTACAGGTGTAAGGAAAAAAAAGGAATTACCATCACAGGTATAAGGAAAAAAAAGAATTACCATCACAGGTGTAAGGAAAAAAGAGGATTACCATCACAGGTGTAATGAAAAAAAGGTATTAGCACCACAGGTGTAAGGAAAAAAAGGAATTACCATCACAGGTGTAAGGAAATAAGGAATTACCATCACAGGTGTAAGGAAAAAAAGGTATTAGCACCACAGGTGTAAGGAAAAAAAGGAATTACCATCACAGGTGTAAGGAAAAAAGGGAACTACCATCACAGGTGTAAGGAAAAAAGGAATTACCATCACAGGTGTAAGAAAAAAAAGGAATTACCATCACAGGAATTACCAACACAGGTGTAAGAAAAAAGGAATTACCATCAAGGTGTAAGGGGAACCATAACAGGTGTAAGGAAAAAGGTCAACTACCATCACAGGTGTAAGGAAAAAAGGGAATTACCATCACAGGTGTAAGGAAAAAAGGGAACTACTATCACAGGTTTAAGGAAAAAAATTACCATCACATTAACCGGAATTACTATCAGGTGAACAGGATAAAAAATACCGTCACAGGTGTAAGGAAAAAAGGAATTACCTTGATAGGTTTAAGGAAAAAAGGGAATTACCATCACAGGTGTCAGGAAAAAAAAGGGAACTCCCATCACAGGTGTAAGGAAAAAAGGGAATTACCATTACAGGTGTCAGGAAAAAAAGCAATTATCATCACAGGTGTAAGGCAAAAAGCGAATTACCATCACAGGTGTAAAGAAAAAAAGAAATTACCATCACAGTTGTAAAGAAAAATGCGAATTACCATCAAAGGTATTAGGGAAAAAAGAGAACTACCATCACAGGTGTAAGGAAAAAAGGGAATTACCATCACAGCTGAAAGGAAAAAAAGGAATTAACATAATGTGTAAGGAAAAAAGTGTATTACCATCACAGTTGTAAGGAAAATGGGAATTACCATCACAGGTGTAAGGAAAACTACCAAAGGAAAAAAGGAATTAACATCACAGGTGTAAGGAAAAAAGGGAATTACCATCACAGGTTTAAGGAAGGAAGGGAACTACCATCACAGGTGTAAGGAAAAAACGGAATTACCGTCACAGGTGTGAAGAAAAAAGGGAATTACCATCACAGGTGTAAGGAAAAAAGGAATTACCATCAGGTGTAAGGAAAAAAGTGAATTACCATCTGATGTAAGGTTAAAAAGGGATTACAGGTGTAAGGAAAAACGGGAATTGCCATCACAGGTGTCAGGAAAAAAGGGAACTACTATCACAGGTTTAAGGAAAAAAAGGAATTACCATCACAGGAGTAAGGAAAAAAAGAATTACTATCATAGGTGTAAGGATAAAAGGAAAAAAGAAAAAAAGGGAATTACCTTGATAGGTTTAAGGAAAAAGGAATTACCATCACAGGTGTCAGGAAAAAAAGGAATTACCATCACAGGTGTAAGGAAGTAGGGAATTACCAACACAGGTGTAAGAAAAAAAGCGAATTACCATCAGAGGTGTAAGAAAAAAAAGGAATTACCATAACAGGTGTAAGGAAAAAAGGTCAACTACCATCACAGGTGTAAGGAAAAAAGGGAATTACCATCACAGGTGTAAGGAAAAAAGGGAACTACTATCACAGGTTTAAGGAAAAAAAGGAATTACCATCACAGCTGTAAGGAAAAAAAGGAATTACTATCATAGGTGTAAGGATAAAAAAAAAAGGAACCTTGATAGGTTTAAGGAAAAAGGAATTACCATCACAGGTGTCAGGGAAAAAAGGAAAAAGGAAAAAGGGAATTACCATTACAGGTGTCAGGAAAAAAAAGCAAATCACAGGTGTAAGGGCAAAAGCGAATTACCATCACAGGTGTAAAAAAAAAAAGAAATTACCATCACAGTTGTAAAAAAAATGAATTACCAGGTAAGGTATAAAAAAGAGAACTACCATCACAGGTAAGGAAAAAGGGAATTACCATCACAGCTGAAAAAAAAAAGGAATTAACATAATGTGTAAGGAAAAAAGTGTATTACCATCAGATGTAAGGAAAAAAAGGAATTACTATCATAGTTGTAAGGAAAAATGGGAATTACCATCACAGGTGTAAGGAAACTACCATCAAAGGTGTCAGGAAAAAAAGGAATTAACATCACAGGTGTAAGGAAAAAAGGGAATTACCATCACAGGTTTGTCACAGGTGTAAGGAAAAAACGGAATTACCGTCACAGGTGTGAAGAAAAAAGGGAATTACCATCACAGGTGTAAGGAAAAAAGGAATTACCATCAGGTGTAAGGAAAAAAAGAATTACCATCTGATGTAAGGTTAAAAAGGATCACAGGTGTAAGGAAAAAAGGGAATTACCATCACAGGTGTAAGGAAAAAAGGGAACTACTATCACAGGTTTAAGGAAAAAAAGGAATTACCATCACAGGTGTAAGGAAAAAACGGAATTACTATCATAGGTGTAAGGATAAAAGGAAATACCGTCACAGGTGTAAGGAAAAAAAGGGAATTACCTTGATAGGTTTAAGGAAAAAAGGGAATTACCATCACAGGTGTCAGGAAAAAAAAGGGAACTCCCATCACAGGTGTAAGGAAAAAAGGGAATTACCATTACAGGTGTCAGGAAAAAAAGCAATTATCATCACAGGTGTAAGGCAAAAAGCGAATTACCATCACAGGTGTAAAGAAAAAAAGAAATTACCATCACAGTTGTAAGGAAAAAAGGGAATTACCATCAAAGGTATTAGGGAAAAAGAGGGGTAAGGAAAAAGGAAACCATCACAGCTGAAAGGAAAAAAAAATTAACATAATGTGTAAGGAAAAAAGTGTATTACCATCAGAAAAGGAAAAAAGGACTATCATAGTTGTAAGGAAAAATGGGAATTACCATCACAGGTGTAAGGAAACTACCAAAAGGTGTCAGGAAAAAAGGAATTAACATCACAGGAAAAAAGGGAATTACCATCACAGGTTTAAAAAAAAGGAACTACCATCACAGGTGTAAGGAAAAAACGGAAGGAAAGGTGTGAAGAAAAAAGGAATTACCATCACAGGTGTAAGAAAAAGGAATTACCATCAGGTGTAAGGAAAAAGTGAATTACCATCTGATGTAAGGTTAAAAGGGATTACAGGTGTAAGGAAAAAACGGAATTGCCATCAAAGGTGTCAGGAAAAAGGAATTACCATCAGGTGTCAGGAAAAAAGGGAGTTACCATCACAGGGTAAGGAAAAAAAGAATTACCATCACAGGTGTCACAAAAAAGGGAACTACCATTACAGGTGTAAGGAAAAAAAGGAATTAACATCACAGGTTTCAGGAAAAAAAGTGAATTACCATCACCGGTGTTAGGAAAAAATGGAATTACCGTCACAGGTGTCAGGAAAAAAAGGAATTACCATCACAGGTGTAAGGAAAAAAGGGAATTACCATCACAGGTGCAAGGAAAAAAAGGAAATTACCATCGTAGGTGTAAGGAAAAAAAGGGAACTACCTTCACAGGTGTCAGGAAAAAAAAGGGCATTACCATCACAGGTTTAAGGAAAAAAGGGAATTACCATCACAGGTGTCAGGAAAAAAAGGAAATTACCATCACAGGTGTAAGGAAAAAAGGGGACTACCACCACCGGCCTAAGGGAAAATGGGAATTACCTTCACAGGAGTAAGGAAAAAAAAGGTATTACCATCACAGGTGTAAAGAAAAAGGTGAATTACCATCTGGTGTAAGGATAAAAGGTAATTACCATCACAGGTGTAAGGAAAAAAGGTAATTACCTTCACAGGATTAAGGAAAAACGTGTATTATCCTCACAGGTGTCAGGAAAAAAAGAATTACCATCACAGGTGTAAGGATAAAAGGGAATTACCATCACAGGTGTCAGGAAAAAAGGGAACTACCATCACAGGTGTCAGGAAAAAAAAGGGAATTACCATCACAGGTGTAAGGAAAAAAAGGAATTACCATCACAGGTGTCACAAAAAAGGGAACTACCATCACAGGTGTAAGGAAAAAAAGAAATTACCATCACAGGTGTAAAGAAAAAAAGGAATTACCATCACAGGTGTCAAGAAAAAAAGGCATTACCATCACAGGTGTAAGGAAAAAAGGGAATTACCATCATAGGTGTAAGGAAAAAAGGGAATTACCATCATAGGTGTAAGGAAAAAAAGGGAACTACCTTCACGGGTGTCAGGAAAAAAAAGGGAATTACCATCACAGGTGTAAGGAAAAAAGGAATTATCATCACAGGTGTCAGGGAATTACCATCACAGGTGTAAAGAAAAAAGGGAATTACCATCACAGGTTTAAGGAAAAAAAGGAATTACCATCACAGGTGTCAGGAAAAAAGGAATTACCATCACAGGTGCAAGGAAAAAAGGGAATTACCATCAGGTGTAAGGAAAAAAGTGAATTACCATCAAGTGTAAGGAAAAAAATGTTACAATTGTTAGGAAAACACACGGATTCAAAGACAGTAAAGATTACAGACTATAAATATGGTAAAAAAGGGAAAAAAACTTAGAGGAAGCCCAAAATTGCACATGGCAGAAAATACAAAACGCACCCACCGCCATTCTTAACTGAATGCTAAATAATAAGACGTCTTAGTACCAATGGCTTTTCGTGTTTTCACAGGTTGTTATCTCGAGAGCTTTTCGTAGTACTTTGCTGGGAGCCCAACTTGAAACTTCTTTCGGTTTAAATTCTTCTTAGGACGATACAGAAAGGAATCTTCTATCCTGGGGTTTAATCTGCATGGAATCTGTTGGCTCTTTCTTTCCTCGAGTTGATTTCTGACCCCCTCGGCCGGATAAGTACCCTTGAAGCGTGGGCGCTAATGTCCTCTTCCCCGACCGTTAACTGCTTTCTCAACAGCTGCTTCTTTCTCTGCCGATCCGCTAAATAGCAGTCCTTTTATTGAACAATGGCGCCTCATTCCAGCTCAATTTAAGTTTTCACAAAGTCTCACAAGAAATCGTCTCTCATTGGCCAATACATACGAAACCTTTCCCCAAGAATTCAAAAAACGAATCTGTAACAATGCAAATAATTTTGGT